TGGACTTTTGTAGGCCTATTTCTTTTTACGTTAATACCGTTCAACATTGCGATCCGTTTGTCTGTATGTTTGGATATTTGCTGATTTATACTTTTGTATATCAGTTGTCCAGATTTGTTCGTTTGTACACGTGATTTATGGTAAGCTTTTTGCTCATGCGATGTACTATTAATTCTTTCGCTGCATGTAGGCCTAAACATCTTTAACACATACCCGCCAGTTAATACAGTCGTTACAATTTTGAACTGAAGCGAAGGTGCCCGCCAGGAACTTGACTTCACGACGATGGTTCATTGAGCATTGTGACGTAGTGGGACAAGTCGAGACTTGTTTTGCCAAATCCGTGAAAATGTTTCGTGTACGTATAGGCCTATATTTTTTTTGTCGGTATCAGAAATTTTGCTCTTAAATTTAAATTTGATTTCATAATTGATTGATAATCGTTTTGTGATATTTGAACGATCCACTGGAATGCTACCCAGAGACGATATAATTTCTTTATGATTGTATAAAATGTTCAAGAGCAGGCAAGAAAACAATCAGTGTCAGGTATACGTGCAGTGACATTGCGTTCGCACGTTAGCAATTAAAATTTGTAAAGGAATAAGTAAGGTACGTGCAGTGACATTGCGTTCGCACGTTTAAAATTCAAATTTGCAAAGGAATAAGTAAGGTACCGTGCAGTGACATTGCGTTCGCACGTTTAAAATAAAAATTTGTAAAGGAATAAGTAAGGTACGTGCAGTGACATTGCGTTCGCACGTGGACATTAAAATTTGTAAAGGAATAAGTAAAGTACGTGCAGTGACATTGCGTTCGCATGTTTAAAATTCAAATTTGCAAAGGAATAAGTAAGGTACCGTGCAGTGACATTGCGTTCGCACGTTTAAAATAAAAATTTGCAAAGGAATAAGTAAGGTACGTGCAGTGACATTGCGTTCGCACGTTTGAAATTCAAATTTGCAAAGGAATAAGTAAGGTACGTGCAGTGACATTGCGTTCGCACGTTTAAAATTCAAATACAATATTCTAGGGAAGTATGACAGCAATAGCTGAAGAGCAAACTTAAGGACTGTGACGTTGGCAGGTCAATGTCGCTTATAAGGGATATCCTCTTCGGTGCATATTAGTAGCGCCGATTTCCAAGAGGCCCCTTCCTGCAGAGGACTCGAGAGACTTCTGGATTTAATATGAGAACTTGAAAAGTCAAACTAGCCTTGAACAAAAAACTCAAAGAATTAAGCCACTCAATAAATAGCCACAAAGAGAAAACTGGAAGTTAATAACACTAAATACTAACGGAGTTCTTTGTTAAGATGACATGTAAACGCGCGTATTGAAATAGAAAGATTTTTTTTAAATCTGGGATTAACACCGTCTGTAAAAACGCCTGGTGTCTTTTCTATATATAATTGCTAAATGTGTAGTGTGAGCATACAGTGAGGGCACAATAGAGACTTATGATCAAAAAGATCATTCCTTTTGATTCATTATACTTGTATGATTTATAGATTTATTGAAAAGAGATTGTTATTCTCTAAGAAGAAGCTCCATAATTTGATATACTTCAATCAATAGATTCATCGAATGAAGTGTGTATATTTTCATTGTAAATCTTGCATGTTGACAAACCAGGGAATTTGGTTTATTGCCGCTTTGTGTGGACTGCTTTCTATGTGTGGCGTGATTTTATTTCGAGTCATTTTCTCTGCATGTTGTAAAAGGGAAAAAAAGGAAAGGTTTTAAATTCAACTTTCGTTTCGGCTCACGAAAATGACAACTCGTATGTGTACCGCAAAGCAGACGCTGAAAGAAATAATACTTGAAATCAGTGTTACTTTTTTCTCGACTACAATACTTCGGGAAAAGACGGTTTCAAAGCAGCAACGATCAGAAACAACGACAATACCGTACGCCAACATTTACAGCGGCATTGGAAGAAACATTATATAGCCGAAATCGGCGTTACTTTTACCATTACAGCAGTGCCTACTCGGACAAAAATGACGAAAATGGGAAAAAATCAAATCGGTGTTACCCACAAACTAAAAAGAAAACGGTTACGGAAATGTCCCAATCAAAGCAGAAAATGATGAAGAGAAATTACGGCAAAAATTAACAGTAGGAGCGACAGAAATAAACCATGAAATCGGTGTCAATTGTCCAACTTCGATGCAATGCAAAAGTCGGCTACAAATACCGTAAATTATGATCGGCAGTAACCGTTACAACGCTTCCAACAGTCGGAAAACAACGTTTTGCAAACGGGAAAATTACAGTAGAAAACAAAATGTTGGAAATTATGGCAAAAATCACAGCTGTATTTGATTTAAAAAAAACCGTTAAAAGGAACGTCACGAGTATGACGAAAATGGGAAAAATCAAATCGGTGTTACCCAAAAACTAAAAAGAAAACGGTTACGGAAATATCCAAATCAAAGCGACGAAATACAGAAAATGATGAACAGAAATTACGGCAAAAATTAACAGAAGGAGCGACAGAAATAAACCATGAAATCGGTGTAAATTGTCCAACTTCGATGCAATGCAAAAATCGGCTACAAATACCGTAAATTATGATCGGCAGTAACCGTTACAACGCTTCCAACAGTCGGAAAACAACGTTTTGCAAACGGGAAAATTACAGTAGAAAAACAAAATGTTGGATATTACGGCAAAAATCACAGCTGTATTTGATTTCAAACAAATTACCATCTCGTCGAACCAAAAAAACCTGTTAAAAGAAACGACGGAATTTACAGCAATTTGAAAAGCATTTTCCCGCAGGAATTAAGTGTTACATTGTATACGGAAATAACGATATTGCTGCACATAGCGAGAACTTTTCCTGTAAAGTTATGTCTGCATTTAACAACAGCAAAATAATCACCATCTCGAACCAATAAAAAACGAATTTTACAGCAACAGTTTTTAGAAAGACTAAGTATTTTCGCCTACGAAAATAACGGAAATTACTGCACATCTTCTAAAAACTTGTGTTCAAAAATATCTCATGGCAAAAACAGTTGTATAAATGAATATGAGTAAAATAGTATATCTAAACAAAGCGTAAGGAAATGTCTGTAAGATGTATGTTTACTGTTGCTTGCGACATTTTTTTCACGTTCTTGTAATTGTTTATGCATCATTTATGTAAGTCCGATTTGGAAAGATCGGCAGGTGAACATATTAATTAAAGAATCTGGTGACTTTTAAAATCCAATCTTTGTACGGATACAATTCCCAAAGGAGTTATTGTGAGACATGCGACACCTTTATAGTCACATGCAGTGATGTTATTTCCCTTGTTGAATTTAGGTATAGGGCCAACGTGTAACCCTTCTTCCGCCATGTTTTAATGTAAGTCCGATTGGGAAGGATCGGCAGGGATATGAAGATGGCATTTTGTCATCTTAAAGTTGTATTCATTTCTTCAATGTTCGTTTACAGTGTGTGAGTTATATGCAGTTTCCAAGGCAACCTGCCATTATCAGCGTCGGCACATTTTTGTGTACATTATAACAAATACTCGTGTCTGTTTTTAGAAGAGTAAACAACAATGTTGAAGTAAGTATTGTAAACATGGGTAGAATCGTTAATTTCCATTATGTCATTAACCATGATAGGTTACAGGTAAGATAAGACAAAATTTAAGTCATTTTCCAGCTGAACTGCACCACGTCTTTAAAGTACATGTACATTCGTCAATGATCGGAAATTGCTACACATCTTCGAGAGGTTTATCTTCCAAAAAGAAATTGTGGTAAAAACCAATTGCAAGGTATGTAATGTGAATGAGTAAAGCGTAATGTACTGAATGTATTGCGTGCGACATTTCTTCAAGTTCTTTTAATTTTGTTTTAACCTTATACATGTACATCATTTATGTAAGTCCGATTTGGAACGATCGGCAGGGACTCGTAATAATACAGTATTATCAAATTGTATCCTATCCTTTTGAACCTTATTTGGTAGTCTACTTTGACCTTTGATAACGTAAGTCCGATCATCAAGCATCGGCTTGGAATGAGGCTGGACATCAGTGATGCGTTAGTCAAAGAGGAAAGCAGAGTTTAGTACTTGGTTTGTTTCCTCATGAAAAGGGTCTCATGGGATCTTAGCTTACGGCCAAAGTAACCGCGAAAGAGACAGCTTATGCCTTGAATGAGTGACAGTTTTAATGTCATCGTATATGACTTTCAAAATCAGGTCCGTGTGTGAATATGAGTATACCGCACTAACCGTGAATGTCCATAAATAAGATATTATTATAAGACATGCGACATAATACAGTCACATGCAACATTAAATTTCCCTTCTATTTTGTGTGTGTTTTTGTAAATTAGATTTACGTGTAACCCTTCCGCCGTATGGTATAATGTAAGTCCGATGTGGTAAGATCGGCAAGGATGAAGATTGCATTTCTTCATCTTAAGACCATATGGATTTCTTTAATGTTCGTTTACAGTGTGAGCTATTTTGTGGTTTCCAAGGAAACCTGCCAATATCAGCGTGGCACATTTATATGCGTTATAACACTTAATAATCGTGCCTGTTTGAAAAGTAATGATAACATTGAAGTAAACATTGTAAACATGGAAAAAATGTTGATTTCCATGTGTCACTAACCATGGCCGGTTACAGGTAAGATTAGACATAATAATATTGGCTGCATTGGTGGAATGTTTCCCTTTTGTGGATAGGCCCAGTGTTTTTGTAAACCCCCCCCCCCCCCTTTACACTTGGGAAAGATTTGCAGCTTTCATCAAAGAAAATGAGGATCTAAAAGTTGAGACAAACTGGACGAGGAGGAGGCTGCTTTGTCGGGCCGAAAATGGACCCCAACAGCCTCAGTTTTTATTTCGTGTCATTTTCCATTCCTGTTGTTTCTTTGATAACAGAAAAAAAAGGATTATTTAATTGAAGTTGATTTTAGCACTACGCAAATGGCAAATCGTAGGTCTATAGTTATAGGCCTACATGCAGCAAAGCAGACATTGAAAGAAATCATACTTGAAATCTGTGTTATTTTTTTTTCTCAATTACAATTCTGCGGGGCAAAACGGTATCAAGCAGCAAAATTCAACGACGCCAATACAAAATATACGGCAACTTGTCAACAGTATTGGAAGAAATTATACCTGAAATCAGTGTTATTTTTACCGTAACTGCAGTACCTATACCAGATATATTTAACTACGAGTATGACGAAAATGGAAACAAATTCAAATGGGGGTTACCCACAAACTAAAACAAATTCTATTACGGAAATAACGAAATCAAAGCGACGGAAAATAATAATGACGAAGAAACTATGGCAAAAATTAATGGTGGCGGCGAAAGAAATGAACAATTAAAATCGGTAGAAAATATTGGTTACGAATCCCGTAAAGTATGATCCGCAGCAACCGTTACTACACCGCTTCAAACAGTCGGAAAACGAAGATTTGCAAATGGGAAAATTACAGTAGAAAAAATAAATTGACGGAAATTATGACAAAAATCACAGCAGTATTAAAAAAAAAATCATCACCGTCTCGAACAAAAAAACAGTGACAAATATTGACGGAATTTACAAAGTATGTTCGCCTACGAAAATAACGGAAATTGTTGCGCATATTCGAGAAGTTTGCTTTCAAAAAGACATTTGGAAAAAAACCCAGTTGTTTTAATGAATATGAGGGGTTTTTTTCGTCATCTAAAACCATGTGATTTTCTTTAATGTTCGTTTACAGTGCGAGTTATTATGCGGTTTCCAAGGCAACCTGCCACGATCAGCGCAGCACATTTTTGTGCATTGTAACAAAATGATCGTGTCTGTGTGGTTTTTTTAAAAGTAAATAATGAAAACATTGAAGTAAGGATTTTGGGTGGAATCGCTATAGTTTCCCTTGTGTTATTAACCGTGACAGGTAACAAGTTAGCTTAAACGTATGTATTGGATGCATTTGGAATGTTTCACTTAAGTAACAACGGGCTAGGCCCAGTATTTTCGTTCCCCTGTTAACTTAGGAAAGATTTGCAGCTTTCATCAAAGAAACGGAGGATCTAAAAGTTGAGATTGGACAAGGAGTGCATGCTTTGTTAGGACGAAATGGACCCCAACAGCCTCATCACACATAACCTAGGAACCGGAAGCAGGGAGGAGGACCGACAGATGAACGGATGACCTGCTTGCTGGGCTACCCATTACTGATTCTTGAGGTTAGTTTACATGCAGTACTAAAAGCAAACTGCAGCAGGTCAAACAGAACGAATACAAATGGGTGAACCGGCAATCCTTTTGATGTTCTTCCACAAAGAAAGAGTGTTGGTATAGTGAGGCATTGCTATATTTTTTTAATTCAAAGTTTCCTTTCCCCTTTACTTTTTCATATTGACAGGCATTGAACTGGCTGGATGAAGAGGCTGCTTCCAGTCGGTGAGGGTGAGAGGATGTAACTCCAATTTGCAACCATCGCATGCAGACAAAACCTAGGAACCGGAAGCAGGGAGGAGGACCGACAGATGAATGGATGACCCTGCTTGCTAGGCTTCCCATTACTGATTCCCGAGGTGAATTTTACTCAAATAAGAGTGCAGTCGACTCTCGTCAATACAAACACCAGCCGGGCCTAGCCAAAATGCTTGTTTTATCAGATTTTTGGAGTGCCGGTCTTATTCACTGTACATTCACCAGTCGGGACCAAGACTTTGTTTGCTATTACCAGAATTTGTATTAACAGTGTTTGTGTTGACGATAGTCGACTGTCACTGCCTGGTTTCTTATAAGACTTAGCAGAAAAGATGCAGTCATATATTAATAAAATCTATAACCATAGGTGTATGCCAAAGAAGACATGCTAACGCTGAGGCACCACTATTTTTCTTTGTGAATTAATGCATAAAAAGTAACTTTTTTAGAGAGAGCTCTGAATATTTTAGTTTATAGTATTTGTTTTACTTTCTTTCTTTGTAGATCCTCCAAGCTTTCATCAGCGCAGCGCTCAGCATATACAGAGATGGCTAGCTACCTTCCCACTCATCCCCTCAAGAAGAACATTATAATAAGAATGGTGTATAATTTCAAAGTGGAGTGTAGACTTGCTTTTGCACTGGACAATGTTCCGAAATGCGATTGAAAAATTTGTCTTTCAAACTTAAGTGTCAGAATATTGAATAAAAAATGGGACAGCATATTTTGAAAAGCTATTAATATTTTTCACAAAATAGAAGAAGCCTACTTTTTAGACATTGAATTATCTATGCCTCTAAAATATCTTAAATCTAATATAAAAACTGCAACAGACAATTATTAACTTTATAGTTAACAATAAAACGTGACTTTCTTTCCAATTTTAAACTAAATATAATTTTTTTACTTTAAATAGAATTTTCACTTTAAATTTAAGGAATCGCTGGGAATTGTTAAGTAACTTCTGTTCACCTAAGTGTTGGAAAATATTTTAGGAAGGTAAAAGACCCCCCCCCCCCATTATATTTCACCAGTCTTAGTGAGGCACTTAAAGTCTTGTATCAAAATAAAATTGAAATGGTTCTTTTTTTCCATGGAGAAATTTCTTTAATGCATAGCAACAGGTGACAGGCACTCAAAATATATTTGCGTTTATGCTTTTGTTATATATTTTATTGCACAATTTTACTTATAATTAACGTTCTTTGTTCACTTTCTGTTTGTTGGTGGTTTGCATGTCTTTTCATTTTATTTACCGTTTAATTAACCCAACCAAAGGATAAACGCAATGTGTACCGAGTGCTGAACTTGCCTTATATCAAAAATTGTATTTACATAATAGCTACATCAATAACAGATAATGAGTGCTTACAATACTTTAAATCAATCATCCATCTAGTTGATTTTTTTTGGGGGGGGTGCTGTCCCCTGATTCCTATTTAATTTATTAAGTCGCAAAAAGTGAAATTCAAAGAAACCAGCTTTACCCTTATTGCTATGTTATGTCTTGCACCTCAAGCCTATAATGTTCTTACTTTTTAAAGGTATATAAGCTAAAGTTCAAAATGTCCAAATGGAATTGCTTCAAAACAAATTAAAATGTTTATTATTATAAGATGTTGCTATTGAGTATTAGCTTCTACTGACCTGTCTTATTCCTGACTTTGTTAGTCAACTGAGCTGAGGGCATTGACCAATCAGCGGCGGTTGCTCTTTAAATCCCACCAATCCAATCACTTTGACTGCCACAGATCAGCATTGGGTGGCCCTGTCATTCCCCTTATATACTCGGTCATGATTGAGATGGAGTTGTCGACAGAGCAAGTGGAATCATGTTGCACTGGGAGAATTTAGTTAACAGGTGTATTGTTAATTTATTGTATTTTGGAAATCGTGAATTATTAACATATGTCCTGATCTAGAATCCATTGTCAGTATTGTTTTGTAAGGAATGGGTAAAAACGTCTGTATGTCAATAGGTTGTAAAGAATAACAAAGAAATAAACTAAAAGAAATGACACCCTTGGTAGATTGTCAATTATTGTTTCCTTTTGTGCGTTTAATAGAAAAAAATTGAAATAACGTTTTGAATATGGCGATTGGGGACGGGGTGCACACATGATGCGATCAAGGTACATAAAATATATTAGTTTTTGTATGGGGAATATTTATACTTTGAAGATACGTAGGCTATTTATAGATATATAGGCTCTTCAAAATGGATTATTTTTCTTCCAACGAATTTTCGATTTGACTGTTTTGTTGAAACAAAAAAAATTGCTTTAGTGTGATTTTGGGCTTTTGCAACCTTATGAAAAGGGGCTTTAAGTTTGCGCACAAATTATTGTCTAGCAGCCAATCAATTGACATATTTGAAGAAATAATTCAACTAAACGTCGGTGGATGTTCCGCTTGATGTGTCATTCAAAAGTGAATAACGTTGCAACTAAGCAATAAAAAGAACCAAATTAAGATAAAACTCGAAAATGGCATGGGGAACCATTATTAACCAAGACCAAAAAACCTCCAAACGCTAAGCAAGCGTGACCAATAGTGCGAAAAGTGCTGTTAGGGCCCAAGTGGGGATTGTTCATTAACAATAAGCGGATGTCAGTACCCCCCCCCCCCCCCCCATGTAAACTCTTGAATTAAACAAAAAATAATGCATCATTTGCTTTCAATGCACCCTTGAAAACATGTATGAAGTTGGTGGCGGCGCTATACGGGGGAGGGGCCCAAGTTCCCCCCCCCCCCCGTTTTCTCCCAACTCTTTGTGTTTAATTTATTCGCTGTTTAGATTGATACAATGTGGACAAATTTTGGGCCAATAAAAGCATTATAAACATTGGTACTTAAGACGAAACGCACCACAAATGCATTTATGCAGCCAACGTCTTGTTACACGTTTGTTATATATTAATTTGTTATACACCCATTCTGCTGTTTGATACATTTCTCATTCATAAAAACGATTAATGCTAGTCTTCTAGTTGCTCTGGTGGCTTATTTCCGTACACGGGCTTAAAAATTTATTTTGACTGCCCCTCAAAAAAATATATATATATTTCGTTGCCCCCCAATTCTTAACCCCCCCCCCCCCCAAATGTAGAGTCTGGCGCCGCCACTGACCTCGGTAAATTACGACTGTGATATATCAAAGAGCGTATGTGAGAAAGATTTACAAAACCGTCGCCAGCTCCGGGCATTTTCTTGGGGGGGGGGGCACAGCAAACTTATATATACTTTTTACGCTTATGGTTTTTGCCGAGGGGGGGGGGGGGGCTCCTTGGGCCACCTTGGCGACCCCCTTGGTCCCTCTTGGCGACGGGCCTGGAAAGATAGGACACTCCGCTGAAAAAAGGAAACAGGAAGTAGCTGCTCACAGCGAAGGGCGTCACCACGTCCGTGGTAGGTAAAACGCAGCTACTGCTTCACCAACCTCGTCCCAAGTGCTTACTTTATTTCCAACACGGTTTCCAATAGTAAACCCTGGATAGCAAACTTTCTTCCTGTATCCTGATTCGATCCCGCAATTGGCTAATAATGGATTTTTATCGTGTACTTCAAGTGGAGTGCCATTGAGCGTAGTGATAATACACACAAGCATTCATTAAAATGAGATATTAATAATTGAAATCAAGACCATTGTTTTTACTGTCAGTTGTAATGGTTTGCATATGAGGAACAAGTCAACTCTTTTTCTTCTGAAATGTTGTTAGCGATATAAAAATCCTTTGCAAGTTCTCGTTCATTCATCGAGGTGGGAAAACGTCCATGTTTCATAATACTCAATGTGTATTAACCAGTTCGTAGAATTATCAGAGGTGGACAGCCGAGCTTTTGTGATCTTTTTATTCAAATAGACATAACGTGAGATTTGAAGGTTTGCATGGTGGAAAGATACTAAGACAAGAAAAGTTTGCGGTAGCACCATGTGAATAACATTCTCCTGACGACGGGCAGAGCATACTGTTCGAAACGTTGAGTCCCTCGGTTCTTTTCAGAATCTAGCCTTTAGTCAAGTCCCACGCGCTTACCCGGACACGTGACGCACCCCGGATGCTGACACGTAAAAAGACTCGTGCTAGTCTTTTTACGTGCCAGCATCCAGGGTGCGTTACGTGTCCGGATGGTCCGGGTATAGGCGCGTGGGACTTGACTAAAGGCTATTCAGAACCACACATACATACATGTACTCACAAAAGAGATTTATTCACATGGTGCTACCGCAAAATTATCTTGTTTTAGACATAACGCGGGAATAAAGTATGCAAATGACGTGAAATTTGCACAGTTAAAAGTCAATGAGATGTACTTTATCATTTTTTTTTCATAATGAAATTGAGCAAGCCGAATATTTTTTAAATATTTTCAAATTCAGTCATTTTCTTTTTTTACTCCCCTGCAAGGAGAAGCCGATAGAAAGCCTTGCGAATCGGTATTGGCTGAGCACCGCATGCATGGTTGTATACACGGTAGCCTCATCAGTAACCTGTACTCTGAAACCGACCACTCGCATGGCGGTTTGCATCATGTCGTATTAGCCAATATATTCGGCTTTTCCAAAAAGAGAGACTGACAACAACATTCCAAAGGAAAAACGTTCCTTTCGCGCAACTCACAGGCAGATGTGATAAAAGTATAATATTGTCGAATTAGACGGTTATGCTGTAAAATATGGCCACCGTTTGCATGGTGATAAAGGAAGGATATTAAAAAAACATGCTGACATATATTTACAGTTATAATTCTTTTAAATTTCTTGAAAAAAAGTTAAAACATACTGGTACTATCAGTGGCGTAACTGGGCTCCCCCCCCCCCACAACGAATGCCCGTGCCATACCCCCCCCCCCCCGGCGCTCCCCGTTTAAAATCTTGACATGAACAAAAATTTGTCATTTGCCTTCAGTGCCCCATTACAAATTGTGTGCACCCATGTGCCCCCCCCCCCCACCCATCCACTCACCGGAATTAAACCTCACGCCACTGACTGTTAATACCTATGAACAAAAAAGTACTCTTAACGGCTTCCACCTGGTGTCTTACGTCGAGGAAAGTATCATTAACTTATTAATAGGGAAATTGTTTAGGTTCTTGGGAATTTGAATTACATGTTTGACACAATTTCATTCTTCCCGAGGGATTTTCTCAGCCTTAACAATTTAGGTCGATTTGTGATCTAAAATCGCTTGTAATTTCATACTTCATGACATCAGAATAACGTCACAGCAATATTGAGGCCGATGTCTCATTCAAAAGTGAACAACTTTTATATTGCTAGGAACAGAACTTTATCATAATGTGATGATCACAGTGTGGTTTTAGTGTGCTAAGGCTAATCATAAGCTAATGTCCTTTATAAAACATTGATTTAGTGTTGACAATAAGAGTTTTTATAGTGATATCTTTATCAAATCATTTCTCGTAATATATCAGACAAGAGTTTTGCTAAATTTCCGATATTCCAATTTAAGCCATAAAAGTCGTTTTATCTTAAATATGATTTCAATATGATTAAAAACAAATCTTGAATTTGTTAGTGTCATTTAAGAAAGCAACAACTTTTATGCAACCTGTCAGTAAAGACATTTTTTGGAATTTATGATTGTTAATGTTTAACGTGAAGTGAATTACTTTTCTCCGGGATAAATAGGGGAAAACAAGGCAGAGGTGTGATTTCCTACGAAGCTTGGGGGAGTAATTTAAAACAAGTTGAAAATACAAAAACACAAATTAACTTCGACCCAGATCAAATCAATACCCTACAGTTTATCTCTTGTTCCTCTGCCAGTTTATTGTTCATATAAGAACAGGTGGGGAAAATGCACCGACGAACAAGAAAGAATCCACGACAGTGCTTCAAAAACGGGATATCCATGCAGAACGAGATTTTTGCATGTCATCATCTCCACATCGTAAGTCGACTTGGCAAGATAATTTATCTCGACAAGTTGTCATCTCGACTTCAGGAAGTCGACTTGGCGAGATATTTCATCTGGACAAGTCGTCATCTCGACTTCGAGAAGTCAACTTGGCGAGATAATACATCTAGACAAGTCGTCATCTCGACTTCGGAAAGTCGACTTGACGAGATAATACATCTGGACAAGTCGTCATGTCGACTTATGAAAGACGACTTGGAGAGATAATGCCTCTGGACAAGTCGTCATGGCGACTTCTGGAAGTCGACTTGGAGAGATAATGCATCTGGACAAGTCACCAAGTCGACTTCGGTAAGTCGACTGGGCGATACAATTATGTGATTAAGTCGCCTTATTCTCGGCGATATGTCAACATGACGTGATAAATTATCTGAGTAAATAAAGAAGTGGATGGCACTCATGGAGCGCCGTACCAAATAAATAAGAATTTTCTTCTTTTATTATTTTAACATGTCTGAGACATTTTATTGCAGAGTATTACATTTTCTTTTTCAGATTTCTGGAGGATTTTTTTTAAAAGGGCAATAAAGTCCGAAATTATAAAATGGTCTGAATCCCATCTTGTGAATACGAGGTTACAACGATAATATTGGCATGTAGTCAGACTAAAATTTGTCAGCGGAAAATGTTTAAGTACAAAAAAACAGTAACTGCGCATGTTCAGTGCATATCCGGCAAACTAACGTTTACTAAAGGTTTGCCGTCTCCGGCAAAATATCCACTGCCATAATAATAATAGGGACGCCGCGATAATAGTTAATACTATAGGAGTCCGACTATAGCCTAGGCCTAGTCTAGGAAATGCCTGCAAATCAAACCTAAATAATCCCAAACACGATGCCACCTTTCACCTATTAAATGTAGTCTGAGGATCAGACATTCATCACCTGTACAATCACGTTTGTTGTGCAAAGGGATATTCCACAATTTAAAAATAGCCTACCTTTTATACCCAGATATATGGCAAAACATTTCTACAGGGATATTGGGAGCGCCCTCTATAGATTGGAGTGAGCAGGTTCTGCTCCAGGGTTTCAAACCTCGGGATCATTTCGGCTGCAGGTTCGTCTCTCTTAA